AGTCTGAGCACCAGTCGGGCTCCTCTCCTGGGCGGTGGGGAGGGAAGGAGGGCGCCCTGGGGACCTCTCCTTCAGGACGAGCGGGAGGCTCGTCGGGCAACACTGCGAACCTGAGCGTCCCGGAGGACCCTTCGCTGCGATACGACAATTATAAATACCTTTAACCGAGCAGCGGTAAGGTGTGCACCGTCTCAGGGACTGTGCTCAAGCACCTACTGAAATATAGGTTACTGCACTGTACGTTGTTTTGGTGTGATAGGACTGAGTCTGGTATTGGAGCCCGTTTCCCTGCTATACAGCGAAGTGGTTTTTGGCTAATACAGTAAATAATCACGGTAGCCCTGGGCCAAGACGGCTCTCGGCCTGCACACTAGCTCTGCTACGTTTGCCATCTGGCAGCAGCACGTTGCGCACGTACCTGCAATCCTCCCTGCTGTCATCTTGCGTTCACCACTAAGGTGTTTGAGCACCTAGACAGCGCTGTGCGTGTCCCCCCTTTTAGGCACCTGAGCAACGCTCGAATACTCAAGAAAGCAGAATTCGAGCCCTGAGGTTTGCACTTGCATTGCCTCTGGGGAAAAAATGAAACACTGATGTTTTTTCGAAAGCTCAAGACGGTGGCTGGAACGAGACAGCCCCACCAGGGTGACTCACAGCGGCAGGGAGGAATTTAGGAGAGCTGCAGGTACGTTTTTGCTGTGGGCATTGAGCTTGCTGGGCAGCAGGAGGGGGTTCCCGTCACCTCGGGAGCTGGCTCTCCATATTCTCTTTTCTGCTATGAGTATCAGTTCACGGTCAAGTTTACTGGTTTTTGCACAAGACTAGGAGCAAGAGTGGGAATAGATGATAAAGGTTACAGGAATACTTCCCAACTCGGAAAGGTGTGAGATGCAGCAGAGCAAGCCCATTCGGGACAGGCAATGGTTACGGTAGCTTTTTGTTTCAGCAAAAAGAAGTAATAAGATCAAGGTGTAGCTTTTAGTCAGTAAAGGGCAAATGAGAAACATCTGTGGGAGAAGGAGGAAGAGGAGCATTTTGTTACCAAGCAGCTTTCAACTTTTCAGAGAGATTCAAAACTGAAAGGTAGCTCATGCTTTGTAGAAGGCAAGACTGGTCCCAGGAAAAGAAATTGGCCCTAGGCAGCCCCTCGGGACATGTGCGTTTTGGCAGACTTTCAGGCCGACCATACAGTTGTGTTGCAGTCATTGCTTTCAGATCTCTGCCTTCCTTGGAGGTCTTTTGCTCATCGCCCTTTCTGCTGCCCATGGCCAATCCTACTAAAGCGAATGGCTGCGGGAGGTGGCCCTCGGCTATTGATCTGTTGTTTCACAAAGATGCGATGTATTGAGCTGTATAAGTTGATTAATAGCCCCAGTAAATTAAAAGACTGGGGAGAAAGGAGAACTGTTAAAGCTAAAATCCTTCTTCTCCAAAGGCAGGGAAAATAATGATGTTGAGGGAGAGAACCTGTAGCACAGACACTTGCCAGCGTTATTAGCCTGATAATTCACAGTGAAGACCAAGAGGAGATTAAGGGCTCGACGACAAAAGGTCTTATATTTTCTTAACGTGCTAACTTTTTCCCTTAACGTGCTGCAAGCTTTTATCTTGTCTGGTGTTAGTCCAGCTACTTTAATGATGATCTCGTTCTGCAGGGTCAAAATAGACCTTCATCTTTTTCAAGCCACGAGGGACTATTTTTGCTTCTCTGGGATAGCTGTGGAGCTCTCGTGCTTTCATTTCACCATAGAGGGGACCTGGGCTGACCCCAGTGTCCTTCCAGCTCTCTTTCGGCTGTACGCACGGGTTGTCCAGGTGCTGCAGGGCTGTGTAGGGCAGAAATTTCCGATCTGAGATTGGAAATTTTGAAGGATCTGGGCTGAGTCCCTGTGTCTTGGGAAAGGGGTGGCTGGTATCTCTGGGCTCTGCTGGACTGGGCACATAGAAGATTTTTATTCCTCCTTTGACACAGAGGGCACGGTGTCTTCCTGGTAAGTAGATACGGTGCTCTGCTAAAACTACTGCCTTTATCCTGTGAAGGTTATTTTATACCGAGGTGGTCAAAGATAAGTGTTAAAACTGGAAGCTGAAGACTGATGTTGATCTCGAGCCGAACTGATTTAAATTAAAATGGCTGTATCAGAGGGCCACCTTTGAACAGGAATTAAAGCATTCAATAGTCTATGGAAATGTAAGAGAAAATATTTAACTCTGCAAAGCTTGAATTGGCCTCCAGCTTCCCTGTCATGCTGCATTAAGAATGCTTGTTAGCTTTTAGTCTTGCCTAATGAGACAAGGTATGGCAATGTATTTACGCTTTTCTGAATCACAGAATGGTTGAGGTTGGAAGGGACCTCTGGGGATCATCTAGTCCAACCCCCCTGCTCAAGCAGGTGCCTCTAGAGCACGTTGCCCAGGATTATGTCCAGATGGCTTTTGACCATCTCCAAGGATGGAGACTCCACAAGCTCTCTGGGCAACCTGCTGCAGCGCTCAGGCACCCTCACAGTCAAGAAGCTTTTCCTCATCTCTCCATGGAACTTCCTGTGTTCCCGTTTGTGCCCGTTGCCTCTTGTCCTGTCGCTGGGCACCACGGAGAAGAGTCTGGCCCCGTGCTCTTGACACCCTCCCTTCCGATACTTGTACACATGGAGGAGATCGCCTGCCAGGCTTCTCTTCTGCAGGCTAAAGCGGCCCCGCTCTACCCGCCTCTCTTCAGAGCAGAGATGCTCCAGTCCCCGCACCATCTTTGTAGGCCTCCGCTGCACTCTCTCCAGCAGCGCCATGTCTCTCTTGTCGTGGGGAGCCCAGAAGTGGACACAGTACTCCAGGGCAGGCCTCCGCAGGGCTGAGGAGAGGCCGAGGATCACCTCCCTCCACCTGCTGGCAACACTCTGCCTCATGCAGCCCACGATCCCTTTGGCCTTCTTGGCCACAGGGGCACATTGCTGGCTCACAATTAACTTGTTGTCCCCCAGCACACCCAGGTCCTTCTCGGCACAGCTACTTTCCAGCCGGTCAGCCCCCAGCCTGTCCTGGGGCCTGGGGTTTATTCCTCCAGTGCCAGTTCTTTTAGTCTGTATTTTGCAGAAAGGCCTTAACTACAGCTTTTTTTCTATATGTCAAGCAGAGAGATACGTTTTCTTAATTTAGATTTGTTTGCCCAAAGCTGGTAACCTTTGGCACTTGAAAAGCTTGTTGCTTTTCTTTCAATTCAGAGATTTGAATCAAGCTGGAAGACAAGATCTACCAATCCAGAAGCCCTGAAGGGCATAGTGCCAGCCCTTCAGAGGTATTCAGCAGCCTTGAGGCAGATAAGTGCCCCCCTAGGACTTTTCTTTAAAAGCACTTGAGCAAGTTAGGCATTTCTGAAAATCCTGCAGGAGACTCGTTCGGAGTAAAAGGCGGTTAGATATGATCGGTCAGTTTTCTGACTAAACTTAACATGTCAATTTTAAATGCCACATAGTCTGATAAGCTTCGCTTAGGCAGCACACTGAAGGCTTTTTTCCTGTATCTATTTCTGAACCTTTTTTAAAAGCATTCTGACTTGTAAATGCAGCCGAGGACAAATTTCAAGAGATATTTAGTTAATAGGAGTATCTCTTGTATCTTTCCACATATGCCCTCACAAAAATTAAGAATTTGAATGAAATGCGATTGGCAGTTCAGCTGTCTTAAGTCTTGAGCACAGTCTGGATTAGGGAAAGGTAACACCTGCTTTGTTTGGGGTAATCCGAAACGTGGGTTAACTCCTATTGTCTGCAGCGTTTGTCAGGATTATGACTTACTTAAATCCTCTTTTGCATTTCTAAAATCAGTTTCCCGCTTTATGATTGAAATATCCCCCTTTGCGGTGTTTCTATGGCGCTGCCTTCTGCCGAGCTGTGCCAGTGAGTTTGGCTCATGGTAGCCCACCCTTCCCTCACCCTCTCCCCTGGGAACGGGGAAATGGCAGGGTAACCCATCTTTTCTGCTCCAAACTGTGGAGGGGAGCTAAATTTCCTGTGCAGAGACCAACATGAGGCTGACTCCTCGCTTAGTAAAAGCATGGGACACGGAGCAGCGTGCCGGTCCTTCTGCTCTTGCTACGGAGCCAGAGGAGGGCCCAGCTGAGCATGGCAAGACCCAGCTGGGTTTCGGCGTCGATGCACGCTGTGGTTTCCGTGCTGCCGCGGGCCGGGGCCCACGCAC